TCTCAACCTCCTGCACAAGCTCCAGCTCCTTCCCCCCCAGTGAGGTCACATTCCACGTACAAAGAGCCAGTTTCTGCCTATATGGCACTGCACCAGTCCCCTATGCTGGACCTTGCGAGTGGTGGGCCCACATGGTCCCCCCTACATTACCTTTTCGGGCTGAGCCCGGCCGGGTTACGTGGGCTGCACGGCCACCATACGCTCACCGAGGAACACTACCCCCAGGCCTGGCTCCAGGGTAGGTCCCAGTAACCCTCTCCCAGGCAGGGTACACGGTTTTCTGTGTCCTTTTGTCAACCCCATTTCCAAAACAGATGGGATTGCCAACAGGTCAGTAACATGATTGTATATAATTATGATTATATATGAAATTTATGTAATTATAATTATATATATAAAAAAAGCGTCCCAGAGAGGCTGAGTCGTTTAGAAGTAAAGATGAAGAGGGGTTCACCACTCTGTGAAAGAGTGCACAAGCAAGTTCAACAGTTCAAGAATAACATTTCTCTTCATAAAACAGCAAGGAACTTTTGCTTTTCATCATCTACGGTACATAATATCATTAAAAGATTCAGAGAATCTGGAGAAATCTCTGTATGAAAAGGACAAGGCCAAAAACCAGTATTTCCTGGCCATGATCTTTGGTCCCTCAGATGGCACTGCATTAAAAACAGACATGATTCTGTGGTGGAAATCACTGCATGGGCTCAGGAACACTTCTGAAAACCACTGTCTGTGAAAACAGTTTGTCGCTGCATCCACAAATGCCACTTCAAACTCTAAAACACAAAGAAGAAATCATATAGAAACAGGAACCAGAAATGCTGCCACCTTCTCTGGGCCTGAGCTCATTTAAAATGGACTGAGAGGAAGTGGAAAAGTGTCTTGTGGTCCAACGAATCAACATTTGAAATTCTGTTTGGAAATCATGGACACTGCGTCCTCCGGCCAAAAGACCACTCAGTTTGTTATCAGTGCACAGTTCAAAAGTCAGTATTCATGATGGTATAAGGGTGCATTAGTGGACATGGCATGGGTAATGTGCACGTGTGAAGGCACCATTAATGCTGAACGATGTATACATCATATGTTTTGGCAACATATGCTGCCATTCAGACGACTGAGGCTGTGTCTGAGTCCCGAACATTAACAGGAAGACTATTCCAAAGCTGGGGGGCTTTGTATGAGAAGGCTCTCACCCCTGACGTAACTTTACTAATTCTAGGTACTAATAGTAAGCCAGCACCTTGTGATCTAAGTAGGCGTGCATAATGGTTCATAATGGGAGAGAGGTTCACTCAGGTACTGAGGGGCAAATCCATTTACAGCTTTATAAGTCAGTAAGAGAATTTTATAATTAATGTGAAATTTAACTGGTAACCAATGTAGGTTTGATAGAACTGGGCTGATATGGTCAAATTTTCTGGTTCTAGTAAGAACTCTGGCTGCAGCATTCTGGACTAACTGAAGCTTGTTGAGGCTTTTGCTCGGACATCCAGTCAGCAGGGCATTACAGTAATCTAGCCTTGAAGTAATAAATGCATGAACTAACTTTTCTGCATCCTGTAGAGATAATGCATTTCTCAACTTAGCAATATTGCGGAGATGCAGGAAGGCTGTTCTAGTAATATTAGTTTTATGTGCGTCAAAGGACAGATCAGGGTCTATCATGACCCCAAGATTTTTTACAGGTGAGCTTGATACAACTGAAAAATTGTTAAGTTTAAGTGTAAAATTAGACAGTTTGTTTCTAGCTGCTTTTGGACCAAGAAGTAGAACCTCTGTTTTATCCGAGTTAAGAAGGAGAAAATTACTCGACATCTGGTCTTTTACGTCTTTTATACAGTCCTCAATCTTGCCAAGTTTAATTTTATCATCTGGTTCGCTTACTAAATATAACTGAGTGTCATCGGCATAACAGTGGAAGTTTATGCCGTGTTTACTGATAATGGTGCCCAGTGGTAGCATATATAGTGTGAATAATACAGGTCCTAAAACAGAGCCTTGTGGAACACCATACTTTACTTTTGCGAGGGCAGATGATTCACCGTTTAAATTAACAAACTGATAGCGATCGGTGAGGTAGGACCTGAACCAGGAAAGAGCTATTCCTGTTACTCCTACAAGGTTTTCTAGTCTATCTAATAAGATAGCGTGGTCTATTGTGTCAAATGCCACACTAAGATCGAGGAGGACTAACAGAGACACTTTTTATTGGTCAGAGAATAATAATAGATCATTTACTATTTTTACTAGTGCTGTCTCTGTACTATGATGTGGCCTAATTTGAGATGGGTCTATAATTTGATAGTTCGCAGGGAGCGAGGTTAGCTTTCTTAATTAGTGGTCTAATTACTGCTAGTTTAAGAGATTTTGGGATGTATCCAAGGCTAAGAGAGGAGTTTATTATTGAGAGAATAGGCTTGGTTATTTCTGGCAAAATTTCCTTGAGTAAACCTGTAGAAATCGGATCTAACATACAAGTAGATGAGTGGAAGAAACGATTTTAACTATATAATTTTCTTGAAGTAAGGTAAATGATTCCAGCCTCTCTGCAGGGATCATAATATTCTCAAGATTGAGGCTGGCATTATGGGAAACAGGTTTGTAGATTTTAACTATGCATTCTGAATTTTCTGCCTAATTTTTTCAATTTTATCACTAAAGAATTTCATAAAATCATTGCTGCTATAGGCTAATGGTATCTGGGGTTCACTAACTGTTTTGTTCTCTGTTATTTTAGAGATGATTTGTAAGTGCTGAAAAGTAATCTAGGATTATTCTTATTGTTTTCTATGTGAGAGGAGAGGTAGGCTGAGCGTGCTGAAGTAAGTGCTCTTCTATAGTCTATAAGGCTCTCCTTCCAGGCAGACTGGAACACTTCTAGCTTAGTCAGGTGCCATTTTCGCTCCAGTTGTCTGGCAGTCTGTTTTAAAGCGTATGATCATTATACAAAGTATGACCATTATACCAAGGGGAGAGTTTTTTCTGCCTTATTATTTTACTTTTTAATGGAGCCACACTATCTAGAGTAGGCCTTGCTTATTTTAGCAAGACAATATCAAACCACATTCTGCATGTATTATAGCAGCATTGCTCCATATTAAGAGTCTGGCTGCTACACTGACCTGCCTTCAGTCCAGACCTGTCACCCACTGATAACATTTAGAGCATTATGAAATGAAAAATACGACAAATGAGCCCCCAAACTGTTGAGCAGCTGAAATCCTGTATCAAATAAGAATGGGGAAAACATTTCACTTTCAAAACTACAGCAGTTGGTCTCCTCAGTTCCCAAACGCTTACAGAGTGTTGTTAAAAGAAGAGGTGATGAAACCCAGCTTTTTTGGAACGTGTTCTTTGCATGTAATTTTCAAAAAAACAATAAAATTTCTCATTTTCAACATTTCATATGTCGTCTTTTTGGTATTTTCCTTAAAAAACATGGTTTACATGATTTGCATATCATTGCATTTTATTTTTATTTACATTCTGCACAGCGTCCCAACTTTTTTTGAAATGGGGTTGTAATTTAAAGATCAGATTTTTTGTGTTTACTAATTACATTTAATACAAATGTAATCAAGGCAAAATGAGTTTATTTATATAGCACCTTTCATACACTGCATTCATTCAAAGTTCTTTACAAATGAGAAAATACAGTGATATTTAAAATTCAAATAAAAAGATGTAGGAGAATAGCAATTAACAAATATTATTAAAATAATTATAAACAATAGATTTAGAAGAAAAGAAACCAACATTAAATTAAAAATCATATGTAAAAATTAAATTGGGATAATAAAGTGCCGTTACAGGATAGAAATGCTAACAGTGTTTTAAACTGAACTAGAAGCCCTCTCAGATAGGAATGTTATCAGCCCACATTTAAAAGTGTCTAGTGTCAGGGCTTTTCTAATTCTCTCTGTCAAATGATTCCATTTAAGAACAGAATATTGGCTAAACACTGCTTCTCTGTGTTTAGTCTTTATCTTAGGTAAGACTAACTGAGTTTTTCCTAATGATCTGGGAGTTCTGCTCAACTCATATCACTGCAGCATATCAGACAAATATGCTGGTTCTACACCATTAGGCAATTTATAGACCAGTAATAATACGTTAATGTCTATTCTGTTACGTACTGAACAGAATTTGGCCAAGAGGAAGTATGCATAAATTAAATAAGAGTAGCCAAAGAATTGTCATTCTCCAAGAAATGCTATTTTGTATTTTGACAAAGATGTTTTTTCCATGCAGGTATGAACTGAACCGTTTTAGGACAGTTCCTGAGAGTCCAACCCAGCTCTCAAGTCTATATATAAGCATTTCATGGTCAGTGGTGTCAAAGGCAGCATTGAGATCGAGCAATAGAAGATATTTTTCAGAGTCTGAATTTAAATGAATATAATTAATGACCTTAATTAGAGCAGTCTCAGTACTATAATTAGGCCAGAATTTTGACTGCAATTTGTCTAGACAGCTATTTAAGCACAGAAAGCCCAGGAATGCCCGTTCTTAAACTCTAACACCAAGTTTTGAAAACTCATTTCCTGTCATTTTTGTAGAAGTTTGTAACAATTCTGACAGTATGTGTTCTGAAACCTGAAGAGGCATTTTGTAAGTTTCTTCATAGTAGCCAACAGGAATTTTCTAATTGCTCCGTCTGCAGCACTACTGTAAAAACAAAAAAATAAACAAGAAAAATACTCACTTTTGGTTTCGTAGTGCTCCTGACTTGTCTATAAATAATGAGCTCAAACACTGTAGCTCAAAAAAAAAAATACATAAACTTCTGAAAATAAAGAAACGAAATGAATCACTTTCTGAAATCTCTCAGTTCAAAGATGTGTTTATTGATGTTGCCCAAGCAAATATATAAGCCTGATAGTTAGTAATTCTTTAAAAAAAATTAAGTATAATCTGATTACATCTGTTTTGGTTTGGTAATCAAATTACATATTCCACAATGCATGGACCTGACCAATGTACATTTCTTTCAGAATGTTTCTCCTCCAGATGATCTCAGAAGGCACAACTGTGATCAACATGTCTTAACACTGAAAGATGACCTCATTCAGAAGTGGCTGAGCCATGGTCATGGAAGACTCTTACCAGAAATGACAGAGTACAGTACTAACATTATGTTGTACTTGAAATTAGTGAAGTTTATTTTTTCTTCAGCTTCTCTAGCTATCTGTTTGTTTTACATAATGCTGACATAATGAATTTGTTGTACTAATTTTAAACTATATTATACAAACTTTCTATGATACTAATTCTTTATGTTTGATATTTCTCATAGCGAGATTGATCTTGTGTTCTCCTCAGCAAGTTGCCTCAATGGCAGTTTTCTGTCTTCAAGGTAGTGTATGATTTTAATAATTTTCTCAGCAATGCTGTGATTCAGTAGCTTTCCAGTAAATATACATTTCATAAACACACTGCAAATACAGAAAGCACTTTCATTAGTATGACTACCCCTGAACTACATTTCACAAATGTGTTGCAAATGCAGAAAACACTTGAAACGCAAGTGCAAAGCAAGTCACAACACCATGGAAGTGAACCACAACAGAGAAGATTCCTAAAGGGGATAGAATATCTGTGATGGAAAATAAATGACAGAAGTTTAAAAGACCACAGAGAGACTCACATTCCAGTAAGTTCATATTTAACTTGGCTGGTTAGTTAGCTGTCTGACATACTTTAGCTGTATGATAGTTATACAGCTGTATATGGTAGTTAGCAGTCACATCTGGTATTGCTATTTGAAGTTTTACACTGAAACTCTATAGCAAGTGGCATTGTGATACAGTGACAATAATAATCTATTAAAATAAAGTTAGCTTACTTTTACTGGTGAATGTTCATGCTTCATAGAATTTAAAAGTTTGTGTCATCGCCTTTTGAGTGTTCTCTGGAAATATTTCCATTGTGTTGTGACTAATTTTGCAGTATTTCTGGACTTGCATGTTTTCTGTAGCATGTTTGTAAAATGTAGCACTGGTGTAGTCAATTTGGTGTTTGTGTTTTTTGAGTCTGAGCTCATGACTGATATTTTCCGTACCTGAGTGCTGTGACAAGTCTTTATTTCATTGCATTTTGTTAAACTATCCCTGTGAGATTGTTTGTTTGGCACCTAGTCCTTACTGTCAAGGTAAATTAAAGATCAATAATTATTACTATATTATTAAACTGTTATTTACACAGAGAAAAAAAATTAAATCACAACTGTAATCTGTAGTATTTATATGTCTGTGTGACAACACGTACACGCGAAGGGGAGTTGGGTTCTGTCAGGGAGACTGAATTTGGCAAAACACTGTTCAGTTCCTCAGCGCATCTCATCACGCCTCTCAACGTTTTGCCCTTATTACGTTAAAATAAAGCCATATCGAGTCCACAGAAAGCCACAATAGGTATCACATGTGGCTTGAAATTTACACAGAGGAAGACAGCTAGTCTTTTAGATAAATAGAAAAATGCTAATAATAAGTGAACTCAGCTAACATTACTGCTTGTATTTTTTAGCTCAGCCAGTCTGTGAAAAGGTAGTAAACTGATACCAAGAGTGATAAGTCATGCTGAACACTTTATTCCATTCAATTAATACAAGTAGAGTGTAAAAATTAACTTGAGACAAGTTTTTATTTGCTCTCCCTGCTGGTGCCTCAGGTACCAGAATGTAACTGCTGCACCATTTAAGTTAAAACAACACTTGAACAAGAAGCTGGTGACAGTCATTTACATTTTTCTAGTTTGAATGCTGGTATTTGATAAGGAGATTTAAGCTATCAATATATTCTACCTAGAGGGTAATGTACGGAGTTACCTATATGAGTACCTGCAAGTTTTGCTTGTGTGCACAATGCTATGGGAGACATCGCCTAAACAATAATGGTGATCTTCTGGCATACAATAAATGCATCATCAAATATCGTTTGAAATATTGGCCAAATATAAACATCAGCCCAATGCCAAGGATCTTTAAAACAACGCAAATACCAGCTCGTATTTCTTTACACTGTTGATGACAGGAACCTGGAGTTGCAATGTATACAGCCATTTCCAGAACAATCAGTGAGCGTACGTGTCATCCAGAGTTTTTAAATGTTGATAATATAAATATATAAATATATATATTTATAAATAAGTATATATAAATATACATAAAATATTGGTACATCTGAAAACATATATATATATATATATATATATATATATATATTTTGTTTGGATACTGTTTTGCCTTACAATGCCCTGCATGTACCTCTCTGCATGGTTTAAAATTAAAAAATAGGTGTTAGGCCAAAACTTTATCTGAAAAAATATTACAAAACAGTCTCAGACGTTAGGCAGCACGTTGATAACCATTTAATGTAAAAACTTTTTGTGAGGATGCATTTAGAGGTATTAAACACTTCAGACGTCTGATTTCTATCATCGCCACTGTGAACAATTCTGACTCAGTAAGTTTTTGTAAAAGCATTTCACGTCAAACCACTCTGAATGACTTTGTTTAAATCTTAATGATTTAATTATGCAGACATTTTGAAAAATTATAGGAATTCTTTTTAATTCCAACAGAAAACATTAGAGACAGAAGAATTTCTAAAGGCAAATATCAGAGACAGGAGAAATAACAAACTAAGAATATACATTCTCATCTCTCATCTTGTACTATGTGCTCAGGCTGTTCATCTTAACAAAAGAATTACTATCCAGTCACCAGCTTCTATGTTTTGTAATGCTAATTTGTGCTATTACAAATTACAGTGGTGGTTATGGGCACAAACATGCTATAGAGTAATGAAAAATCTAAAGTAACCAGAACTGTTGACCTGCCTTTTTAGTGAAAAAACATGTGGATAATGATTTTGCAGTCATCCAGATCACTATTGCACTAGCAGTAAATGCTCAGGGGTGGATGCGAACATGGCTCGTGTCCTATTCCATAGGCTCATCCAGCCTGATTATCCACATATCTCGCAGCAAGTGAGTATTTCTTTCAGTTGCATAATTTATACTCATAAATGGTTGGAATTTAGTTTAACTTTCAAGAGAACCTCTTGAGATTAATGTTTTTTTTTCTGTGATACAGGTTGCTGCCAGTTTGGAGAAGAACTTGATCCCCAACCTCAGTAGTTCTCCTCCAGATATAGAAGCACTGAGACTCTACCTCACGCTTCCCCAGTGCCCTCTTTTTAGTAACCCCAACACTTACATCACTCTTGCCATCCCCTTTGCTAAGGCAGTTATCAGCCTAAAGGATGCTCCCCTCAAGGTGCTTGGTAAGCATCAGCGTTGTGAGGTAATTGCATTTGTTTTTGAATGTTGGTTCTTCAGTGTTTTCTAATTTTAGGAGATGTCCCAGCTTTGGTTATTTTCTTCTTTTCCTTTAAATAAAATAGTCATTACATAAAGTACTGTCCAAAAGTCTTAGATATCTAAGAAAATTATATATAAAGCTAATTATTTGGGCAGTAAACATTTATTTGTCAAAAAAAAAAAAAACAACAGAGTCAGTACAAATAACTAATGTACCGTGTTTATATCCGAACCACAATTTGAAAAAGTGCAATTTTTAAATCGTAAGAATTTTAATTATATTCCACATTATCCAACATTGTCTTAAGTTTTAACTGCAGAAATGACCTAACACAAATCGTCCCCTTGGAATTATAAGGTTCTATCTGCGTTCTGAGCAGTTTTGAGATATTGAGCTTCAAAGATTTTGCATTCTAAATAGCAAAACTGATGTGTGGAATAAGTCTGTCATACATGAAAATGACAGACACCCTAAATATATTCTAAATGTACAATATTAAAATCATATCAAATTTGTAAATTAGTTTTTTAGGAACAGGTGAAATGCAGATAGAACCTTCTAATCCTAAGAACTCACTTTCTGCTTGGAATTATAAAGTTCTATCTGACAAAACATGAAAAGAAGCAACGATTTTCAAGGAACTCAAACAGGTTACTCGTAATTTGTTTTAAAATATAAAACTAGTGCTGTAACAGTGTCTACATGACCAGAAAGTGAAATTTAACGCTTTTTTGTAGCATTTTTATGACATTAATTTTTTTAAATTTATTTTTATGACATTTATTTCTTGTTTTAGGACAAATCATCTTTTTCTTATTCGAAAAAGCATTGCTGTTTAAGTAAGTTCAGTGCTAAATATTTTCTAGTGCAGAGGTCAATTTTATGTAGAAGCCATTAGTTTTCATTTTCCTTCATTCAGACAGAAACCAGCTACTGTAATAAACTGTCCCAGCAGGTCAGTGTAGCAAATCAGTATAAAGGCAGTGTGAGGTTTTGTTTTATATCAGAAATGTGACCCTAATGAGCCAAAATGTCTTATTTTGGAGAAAGAAGAAAATAAGCTGGATGAATTAATGTTTATGTTGTAATTAAGACGTCATCATTTCAAATGTTCACCATTTAATTACACTTAGGGTTATTATTTATAACGTAACACAATAAGAGTTTTTAAAGAACTGCAAGGAGACTGCAAGGAGTTTCAGCAACAAGTTTTTATGTTTCACAGTTTTATAAACTTGGACATATAAATATACAAACTTATTATTAATAATAATCAATAATAATTGTTACATATTAAAGATATTTATTAATATTCATTCATTAATAAATAAACAATTGTCAAGTCATTGCAAAACATTTCAAACAATGCAACAACTCAGTTTCCATTAACAATTAAAATGATTGTTTCATCACAATATCATAAAATACCTCTAACTCATCAGGTTGTCCTATTCTGAGCCCTATAGCATCAGCTCATTTTTTTCAACAAAGCACTATAATACTGTCCATCTGCAAGCCGCTGGCTCCACAGGTGTTATGTCTGGTAATGATAATATTTACCATGTCAGGGATCAGGGTCATCACAAAAATAGTTATTGGCGTGGTTCCACTGACTAGCTAAAGGCTACATTAAAATATAATTTTACAATGATTCTACAATCATTAATATTTTAATACAGGGGTAACTGTTAGAATGATCTTTCTACAAAAACCCAAACTTATACTTATGCTTGCCTCCTTATGTAAGTATTAGTTGTCAGACTAACATTAGAAAGCTAGCGTTACCTGGCTAGCGTGGTAGCTAACAATGAATATAAATCTTCTCAGCAAGGTCTAAAATGATAAAAAAAAAAAAACACTTAACTCGCCTGACATTTGTACTCTTGTCCCTCATGAGATCATCTGTGAAATCTTTTATCTTGAAGTTTCTCTTAAACTTCGCGTTGTGTGTCACATTTGACTCCTGCGCTCCTTTTTCCACAGTCACTGAGCAGCGCGGCTACATGACAAAGTAACCAGATTGGTCCACTTGTGTGTATTTGAAGTGCTGATTGGCTCGCAGATAGAACTAAGTTAAAGTTTAACTTTGCAAAAAGAACCTTTTTGTTTTCTAGATAAAAATTCTAAAAATGCACACACCTCAAAAAAACCTTACGTAATGTTAAGAAGTTGTCACACAATAAGAATATGTGAAAAACTCAATTTTGACAAAAATGTCAGATAGAACCTTATAATTAATTCCAAGGGGATGAAATTGTGCAAATTGGCAGTCTGTGACACTACATTCAGCATTTAAGCCTCAAGCCATAAAAAATAGATGTGCTAGTTTTCTTGCCAAAGAACAGGCCTGGATCATAATTAATAGAAGTTAATCACATTTAAATTGCAATTGCAATATTAGTCGGAGAATTGTTGCCCCAAATTGATCACTACTGTGTGTTAGTGTGTTACCTGAAGGGGAATTTCACCATTACTTTTTCCAAATTACAGCATAATTCGATCTTTAAAATATAAACAAAGTTGTTCAGTGTGGTTTGAATTGTTTGCAATAGTGGAGATGGGAACGCAATGTCTGAATAATTCAATGTCTCTGGAAGTTCCTTCACATAAAGTTACTACATGAAATGGTTAAGGATACACTGTCTGATATTTGAGACATTGTTTTACAATAGTTTTGAGAGAAGGTTTTGGCCTAAAACATACACTTTTTTAAAATGCATTAATTAAGAGATTATGTAGGTTCACTTGTCGTTTTGGATAGTGAATATTTGTGTTGTTTTGTTTGGTAAAATGGGTTTTGTTTAATAAATGTTTGATTCGCCCTCCTACAAGTAGGCTACACATACATTCAGTGTTTTTAGCTCTGTGATGAATAAATGTAAGAATTTAATGGGGGGTGTGGGCATTAAATTTGGACACCCTAGAACAGAAGTCATGATTGATTTAAGTTCTCATTGTTTGTGGTGTTTTTTTTTTTTCTAAATAGGAAATTGGTGGTCTCAGATTGAACCAGCAGTCTTCCAAGGGCTTGTGGAGTTGTATAAAGAGGTGGTTGTTTATTTGCTCCGTATGCAAAAGGTCGGAATTCCACCATCTGAGCATAGGATATTTACCTGTTTCCTTAGCACCTGCCTCAAATTTCTGGACATCCTGCATTCAGTGAGTATTATGGCGTGAGTGGCACACTGCGACTAGTTACAGTTGCATGCAAAAGTCTAAACAATTTTCTGAAAGTTGTAGTGCAGAGTATCTATTTATTTATTTAGTTTAAAATAACTAAAAACTAAAAATTAAAATGTGCCATAACTTTTGCACTGGATATATTTTTTCCCTCTCAGCATGTTAAATTTGTAGTAATTGTGCAGAAAATGTGCAGAATTGTGTTCTCTGTAGAGGATGTTTCAGCTTAATTTCACTCAGAAAATCAAAACACCATACAATTTGACCAGTGCACCCAAACTTTTCCATAAGTCTGTGTGTATAATAACAGATAACAGTGATGTATTTTTGATACTCCATACTAACAGTCTTAGTACAGTATAATTCCAGTTTTTATGTTGTAAAAGTGAGTACAATGAACAAATAAACTAATTTGAAATAAACTAATTTGTTGAATGAAATAAAGTGCACTAAGTTAGACAAACATTTTTGAATCAGTGTTTTTTTAATGCTATGAAACTAATTTATTTTGTTGCAGACAAGTGTCGTGTTCAATTTCTTCAGGACACTGAAAACTGGAAATAAAAATTAAGAAACCAGAATTTTACCAGAATTACGAACAGAGCTGTAGAACATTTTAAATGACTTTAAAATCTGTACAACATTGAGAATTAAGATATGATAATTTACTTCCAGAATTCATCATATTTCAAAGGTGGAGATCAAATCTTAAGGCAGATAAGTTGAAAAAATACTGTAAATAATTACAGTATAGTATTTATCATTTCATTTAGTTTACAGAACTCTTCAAATATTGAATAAAACATATAAAAAACTCATTTTGATGAATTGTTTGTTATATATAAATTCAGTTGTTTATATTAATATAGTTAGTATGGCAAGTTCCAAATGCTACAATATGATAGTGTAAACCTGCAGCCTTGTAACAGGAAAACAGGCCAGAAAACCAGAGCTGCACTTTTACTATGCCTAATCAACTTTCGTATAGACCAAGGTCTTCATTCCTTACTTGCTGGTGAAATAGCTGATGAATTTAGAAAGTTAGACATAAATATAACTTGAAACATGAAACTATACTTTTGTAAATGTAGCACTCTTGTACTACTGTTTCTTAATAGTAAACATTTGTCACATATAGTTCAATAGGCTTCAGCACCCATCCCCACCAACCCCAGCGACCCTCCCACACACCACCCCCCACCCCCATCACGACCCAGAAAGATAAGTGGTTTAGAAAATGTGTGTGTTTCTTTTCACTGCCAAATCAAAGATATTACTGTAAAGTTTCTATAAGTGAATATGGCTAAAAATGTGAGCTACTATCATTGAGAACAGTTAAATTCAATCTTAGGCCTGGAGGTATATTATGGCATCAACAGCACTAAAGCAAGGGGTAAATAATAGGAATCGTACATCTATTTTCAAAAATGTATATTTTTAAAAATGTCTTAGTTTCTTTCCACATAAAATGTCCGGAGATTGTTTACTGCAGCTTTAAGAAACCTTAGTACATTACCTTTCAAAATTATCATTTTGCAATTCTAGGTGAATGAACGAGCTGGCCAGATCATACAGTATGACAAATTTTATGTACATGAGCTGGAAGAGCTGGTTGACATCAGGAGTGATTATGTTACTTGGATTCAGCAGCAGATGTTCTCCATGGTAAGTAGGGCCTGACCACTATGAAAATTCTGTGGTTGATACCAATTTTAAGGAGCTAAAATTTCTGATAATTGTATAAATACTTGTAAAAATTGTGTTATATTATTCTCATATTCTCATACCAAAGGTTGGGTTTTGGATACACTGTACATGTTTTGTTACTGTTTAAGGTTTTTTAAGATTTCTGATATCTCAGTCAGACTCTAATGGTTAGATCATCATTTAAATTTACATTTTATTTGCACACACCTTAAGGTTTGCAGGTACAGTTACCTTAGGACATACATACTTATGGTTAACAGTATGACATGATAGAGTAAAGGAGAAAAATGGATGAAAAAGTAGTAAGAAATTGACTGTTTAGGACCATGCCTCAAGGTAAGATATTAACAACTGCCATATTTGCCAGAACTTATACATTTTCTGATTTACGTTGTATGGCAGTTGCTCTAATGGAAGCACTGTTGTAACCTGGGACAACCAGAAATCAACAGATGGAACTTGAGAAGTTGACCACAAAAGTAAAATATTTGGCCAAATGCATTATTATAAAAAACAGATGCTTTGTTTTATTGTCAAGTACAGATTCCCTATCAAAGTAGGATAGTAACAAAGCAGGCAAGAAGACAAGGCGAACCCTCAATATTTTTTGAAGTTCATGGTGAATCCCCTTCCAGTAAAATTGTATCTTGTTACATGACCAAAAACAGTGCATATATGTACCTCTTTCCCCTTTACATTTAAAGCAAAGATTTGAGCAATCTGAAGAGATCTTATGGAGGTGAACTGGCATAAGTCTTATTAATAAACTTAAAATTAATTTCATGAAGAACTGTCAAGCATACTCTGTAGGCCCTCTCAAGTCAATTTCCAATTATCGTCACTTATGTTCATGCCCAGATCTCGCTCCCACATACCACTCTAATAAGGTAGAGAAGATGTACATACACCAGGCAGTAAGTTATATATTTGTGACACAAGTCCTTTCAGGCCACAGGAAGCGCCTCTATCTCAGTCAGCTCTATTCTCAGTTTACCCTCATCTTGCAAGGATTTGAGAAAATGTTAAATTTGCAGGTATTTAAAAAATTCAAATTTTAAAAGACCAAACTGCTCTTGGATCTATGAGAAAGATTTCAAAATGTTGCCTGAACATAAATTAGATAAATTAGAAATTAGACGATTCCGGAACAACTCCATCTAGAGAGTCCTATGTTCAAGAACTGATGGGGAAGGTCAGGATTATAAGCAATTGGAGATAACAATGAAAGATGTGAGAGAATTTTAAGATTTGACTAAACATCTCTCCAGGCTAGGAGTTTGTTACAGACCACAAAGCTCTCTGAGAGGTAGTGTTGCCTGCAGAAATCCTGTAAATGGCAGGAACTTAATTGGTAAAGGCAAGCAAAGAGCAGACTCTATATTTAACCATAAAGATTCCCTCCTATCATTACACCAAGTGAGCATATTCTTTTTCTGAGCAGCCCAGTAATATATCTGAAAATTAGGTATGCCAGCTCCACCTCTATCTCTTGGTTTCATTAAATTTGCAAATTTGATTCTGGGTCTCTTATGATTCCAACCAAACCTGGAAAATAACTTATTGAGACTAACAAAAAAGAAGCATCTAAACAGTGGTGGTTAGATCAGCATTAATGTATCTTCCAACCCAAAGTTGTGTATTTTCATTACTTAGATTATTAGTTTATAACAAAAGCTCTCTTGCTATACCCTGAGCTTTTGGTTTGTATAGAGCAGTGATTCTCAAACAGGTCCTCAGGGCCCCCCAGTCATTTTTGCTTTTCCCCAACTTTCAACAAATAGGGATAGAACAAAACATCTGGTAGACCTTGAGGACGAGTTTGAGAACCACTGCTACAGAATAAATATTCCTAAAATCCATTTTTACCATTTTTTTCTGAAAACACTGAGCAATTCTAAGTCTGCCTAACAAGTCCGCCTAATTAGCTACTTTATTAATTGTTATCCATGTCTTTAACAATTCCTATTGGAATGCTATGTTTTTTTTATTATTATTATTGTGATTCTTCCCTAAACAGTTTGGCCAGACCAAGCCGTAGGTTGTAGAGACCTTAAACTTAGTCAATAGGTAGTAGTCCCTCCCGCTACTTAGGTACACTACATGACCCCAGTCGGCCTAAAAGGGGTACTGTTGTGCAGCCCAACTCCAAAACCAAACTTTTTAGAGTCAAACCAAATTTGCTATTTGGATCTTTGTGCTCGGCCTCTAAGATTTTTCAGATATTTGTATAATATACAAAACCTACTGTTGAAACCAGTTACATGAGGATTGAGTGAAAACCCTATGGTTTTCACTCAAACCTCATGTAACTAGTTTAAAAAAATTCTGAGCCTGAACCTCAATAATTATAAAACAAATTTTGACTTTTCTAAACAATATGGGTACCATATGCTAATTAACTTTTCTGGAGTAATTCATAATTATTTAAAAATTCTCAAGAATCCTTTATCCAAATAATTTAAAACTTAATAGGCTTATTCAGTAGTAGATTCTGAGGTACTCTATCAATTTTCGTGTGCATACATCAATTGAGGGCGCCATAACTGTAAACAGTTTCTTAGCATCTGTACATCCATTTAAGCTGATTTTTTTCTGGTAGCATCTACAAGACAGACTAAGTAAATAATTAAGGACAATTAGATAAATTAGAATTTATGGCTGCCATCAGCCAATCAGCTTTCAGCAGGCATTTAACAGGCTTAACAGTGACCAATCATCATGAAGCTTAAATTATGTCTTTGTGTGGGCACTTTCTAACAACCAGTGAAGTTTCAAAAGATTTGGCCACTGGTGGTGCTACTCATGAAAATCAAGTAATTATTACATATTACATGTCTGTCTTTTTTATTTATAGTCACATAACTCTTTTTATGTAATGTAGTACAGTGTGCCAAAAAATTGCAGTCACAAGTGTATTCAAAAAATGCATAGTTTTGATAACTGTTTGAGAAACCACACTTTTAAAACTGCTCTCTGGGTTTTGATCTTAACTTTTTGAAATTGGTCTAGAAACACACTGTGGCCAGCCTTTCTAAGGAAATTATTTTCAAAAAAATGTTGACATTTTTAATCATCATGGGCATTAATCATTGCAGCCATGGTATTGTTAGCTTAAATTACTATAACTCATCAGTCATTTGTCTGATCATCTCAAAGTTTATAAACATTTGTATATATTGAAACTCTAATGAGATCTGCAAAATCGGGTCCAGGTTGGCTTTTAGGGGATGCATTAGCACTTAAAATCATTAAAATGCTATTACAGTGTGGTTATGAAGTCTGCAGATTAACAGTTAGTGCCATGTGATTCAGTTCACTGACCTGAATAACTTTGTGATTACATGTTATGTCATAAATTGGACTCCTTGTCTGGCTTTTTGTCTCATTTATTTCAAAGACTACAGCTTATTATACGAAGGTCAACAGGTCAGTCTGAACAAAACTCACTGAACATCTTTGTTGAAGTTCCCTGATCAATAATCATAACATATGCCTTTTGACAAATTCTGACCCACTTTCACTTTGCTTCTCTATGCCAAAAGTGCCCCTTATGGGTGCACTGGGCTATGGCATGCATATCAAAGGGTTAAACATGGAGTACCAAACCACTCAGCAAATACAACTATGTCAGAAATTTTGCCATTAGCTATGTATTTTTGACATCTAAATTGACAATTTTTTGCATGTTCAACAAAGCTCGATAGCTTATTACATACAATATAACACATGCATCATGTTTGAAGATCACTGCTCAATAATTATGGCAAATGAAGGCCTTTTGATAAACTCTGACGTCCTTGCGTCTCTCTGTACATAAGGCCGAAACTGCATTAGGCCTTGTTAGACCTAGTTGGCTAAAACTGGATAAGGTTTATTGTGCTGATGCGTGTTTGAACCCGTGGTTTGCTGCTTGTGTCTATATTTTGTACTTATTTTTATTTTTTTGCTTGGACAGGTCATGGATTCTCAGGTCATCCTGTGCAAATACCCATTTATATTTGATGCCCAAGCAAAGACCACACTGCTCCAGACTGATGCTGTTATCCAGATGCAGGTGAGTGGTGAGTCCTGGACCCAAGAAACCACCTGCAGTGCTGAAAAGTCTGAAAGCAATTTGTTTTGTTTATTTATTACCTTTCAAGATTATCATTTATTTCTTTGTGTCCATGAGAAACATTAAAGCAGATTTTTGTTTATTCTTGAATCAGTTGTGTTGGATGGTGGCTTTCTAAGAGTAGTTCTGGAGACCTCTGGTTTGCAATAATTGTCCTAACTTTATTTTTTTTTAAGTAAAGGGTTTGGGGGGAGGGGGGGTTGGAGTTTGCTATTGTTGTATTGTTATTGATTAATAAGTTGTGTAAGAATATATAAGAATTGTTATTATTGTTATTGTTATTAAAGGCCATCAATTCAGTTCTGCCTCTGGGATATTGTTTTTCCAGACTGTCCTGTCTTCTGTTTGTGATTTTTTTTAAGGCTTGTCCATGATTCCACTGATTGTATCCATCCATCTTATTGGTTACCATTCTCTTCCACTTTTACCTTCAACTGTTCCAAGCATAATTGTCTTTTCCAATGAATTGTTTTTTCTCGTATGTCCACAATACGAGAGCTTCAGTTTGGTTATCTGGGCTTTGACACGTGAGGCTTGATCTTGGTCAAGGATCCTTTGTCTGTTTCTTTCCATCCTGTCTAGCTTTCCTTTGCCTGGACAATTATGATCTCTGTTTGTGAAGATATCATTACATTTGGAGATCCTTAATTCTTGTTCTGCAGAGTGATAATTTGTGTTGTATTTCTTGACTGCTGGATCCTTTGTTGTTAATAACTGATGTGTATGCAAAAGCTGTCCACCACATCTACATCTTTACTTTCAGTGGTAGAATTTGTGTTTCCTATTGTTATGACCTTATGTTTTATACTAATAATAATAGAGGTGTTGAAAGACTAAATTTGAGGACTGAATTACAGATTTGCCTCAGCTTCCTCTAACCTCTGTTTTCTGATCAGATGGCTGTGGATCAGGCACAAAGACAGAACTTCAGCTCTTTATTCCTGTCTGGAGGAGCAGCGGAGTCAGTTAACCCCTGCCTCATTCTCATTGTGCGAAGAGAAAATGTTGTTGGTGACACCATGGAGGTCCTGAGGAAGTCCAAAAATGTTGATTATAAGAAGCCTCTAAAGGTAAGGATAGCACTGTATTGCTTTCAGTTAGGAGCCTTAATGTTTACTTATTAGTCCTCTGTACTGTACTAACCATTAGTCTTGGGGAATTCCACTGATTTTTAAAAATTTCTGCATAATTTAAATGTTAACGTATGAACAAAGTCATTCAGAGTGGTTTCACAAGAATTGGTTTATTGTAGAGAAACTTACAGACCCACATTCCTTTACAGTGGAAGTAATAGGAACAATGTGTACAACATGTCCACAACAATGTCTTCAACACAAATATATCCATTTTATTAAAATCCAAAAGCACCAGTGACCCTACATGTCTTCTGAAATTCTACACCCCGTGAAAAAAAATGTTCAAAATAATGTTCAATTTTAAACAGATATAGAGTGTGAGAGCCACTCTGTCCTATTTAATCATGTTTATGTGGTCTAATGTTATAATATTTTGTATATGAATTATGTTCTAATGGTTGTAATAAGTGTGTCCAACAAAGCTACTTGTTGACATTTTTGTAGTGGATTAGTTTCTGCCAGTGTGTACACATCTGCAGATGTTAGTTTTTGAATGACAATAATGTGTGACAAAACTTATTTTTGCACCACCCTTAGGTGATCTTTGTTGGAGAGGAGGCTGTGGATGCTGGAGGAGTGCGGAAAGAATTCTTCCTCCTCATTATGAAAGAACTGCTGGACCCCAAATATGGCATGTTTAGGTACTACGAGGAGTCCAGGCTCATCTGGTTTGCAGACAAGGTAAGTATTTGGCTCACAGTTTGAACATAAAATTTAAAATTTAATAGAAAAGAATCTTGTGTGAGGTTAGTACATAGTCTTAAACAGGTTTGTCAAATTGGTTACAGACATTTGAAGATGTTGACTTATTCCACCTCATTGGAGTCATTTGTGGATTGGCCATTTATAACCTGACTATAGTGGAACTGCACTTTCCTGTGGCCTTGTACAAGAAGCTCCTAAAGAAAAAACCCACATTGGAGGACCTAAAGGAGCTCATGCCTGATGTTGGCAGGTCAGCATCTATGAGTTCTGCTTTTTTCAAATTTTTCTCCAGACTCCAGACTTTGAGCAGTTTGGTATAACTGTTGGCTGTTGTTTCTATATTGGTCATAGAAGTCTACAACAATTGCTGGACTACACTGAAGATGACGTTGAGGATACATTCTGCTTGAACTTCACAGTAAGAACAGTTATACAACACATTTGTAGAACACAAGTACTATAATTAAAGTGTATTTTCTTACATATATATCTTACATGGTGGTACTATAAAAAAAAGTCTATATGTAGATGAGACTGGCACTAGAAATGTGTGTATCAGACTGCGCCTAATCCTTTGAAAAAGTTTCAAGTGATCAGTTTATTTTGATCAGTTTTAGTTCAATTTTCAAGTAATTAATAATCAGTAGATCGATTAAATAAAAGCAGAAACACAGGCAAAAAAAGAAAAAGAACATTTAAAGCAGAATTTAAAAGGATGTTTTGAAATGTTTTAAGATGTACATGACTTGTTATATGACATTTCAATGTGATTTCTTGCTTTTGTTTTACGTAATAAAATTTACTTTAGTCATCCCACCTCAAGTTTAATAAAAAGAAATACATTTTAGGCTACAAGCTTATCTGAAAACTATCTTAAAACAATGTCTCAGGCATCAGGCAGTGTGGTCATAAACATTTAATGTAACACCTTTCTGTGATATAGCTTTTACAGCCATTAAAATAGTTTTATTATAAGTGGAACACACTAGTGTAGTACACAAATCAACATTAAAAAAAATACACCCTTACCCTATTTAGCTGATATTTTTATTTGTGAAGTGCCATTGCATATTTTGCCATTTTTCAAGCATGTTTCCGATTCCTCTCTGAACATAGTTCCTAACAGTGACTCAGCTGACAGAAATCTCTCACCAGAAAGAACAGCACTATCTTGTGGATTAAGAAATTATTTGAATTTTCAATCAATCAACCTTTATTAAACTTGGAGTACATTGAGGGAGACCCTCATTTAAAGCAGCTGGGCCAATATGGAAATCAGGGATTGAAAAAATTGTGTTGTAAAAACATATAAAATGCTTAAAAAATAATAATAGTAAATTTAATTGTAAAACATCTGTCAAATCAGAATAAACAAGTAAAATTGCAACAATGTAATAACTTAAATAACAGTTCAAATAGGAATAAAATATGGTTAATGAAACAATAATAAATAAATAAAGATGTAATTCTGTGTATTGTAATGTATTGTAAAACAATAATGTGCACCTAAAAGTTTAAAATGTTCATGTGACACCAGCACATGAACAGCATGGTGTACTGTAGCTAAAAGCAGATTTTCCCAGTTCAGTAAAAGCTCTTGGCACCTGCAGGGTAATCCAGTCACTGAAATGAGTTTGATAAAATGCAGTATTTACACTGAGCATTTTTGTGATGTACAATGGCATATGGCCAGTAAGTGTTGTATAGATAAAAAGAAGCCAGTGTGTCTCTCGATGCATATCCATATATCACATCAGCATAATCCAGAATAGACAGCAGTGTTGCTTCAACAGTCTTTTTCCTTGTGTGCATAGGGAACACATTTTGTTTTGATGCAGGAAGCCAAGTTGTTAACATGGTGTTTAAAAGTACATTTGCCATCTCGCCATATGCAAAGATATTTGTATTCACTAACTCTTTTAGTGTCAGATCCCTTCAGGGTTGTGATTGTAAAAATGTTAAAATCAGTATTAGAAGCTTTGGAAAGAGCATAAATTCAGATTTCTCAACATTTAAGACTAGTTTATGATTGTAAAAAGCCAACTGTAGGGCATTAATTGAATGCCACAGTTTTTCCTTTGCAGTACCAATATAATCAGCTGAGCAGTTCAAGATGGTGTCATTGGCATATAAATGTACTTGCAATCGACAACGGAGGTGGCAGTATCATTAATATAAATATTAGATACTACTGGTCTGAGGATTGAACTTTAAGGGCCCCTCTCAGTTACCAGTACTTTGTCCCAGGGTCTATCGGAGAGATGATTTCTAATCCCAGGGTTCAGATGGTCATGAAAATCATGGAATATAGAATTTTGGTTTTCCAGGCCTGAAAAAGTCATCGAAAATAGTTCCATGTGCTGGAAAAGTCTTGGAATTTCCTGGACTTTGTCCCCATGCAGTTCGTCATCTCATTGCATTTGAAGCACTAAAAAGTCTAGATCACAAAAAACGAAAAAACGTTGAGACTAACGTATCTGCACATGGACTAGCTTTACTAACATGTTGTTAATATGAATCTCAGCTAGCAAAATTGTAACATTCAGGATGTGTGTTGTGGATGATGTTTTGAGTCTCGGGTCCCACTCGGTGCAGACTCGTATATATTTTTTTGCATGCTCTTGAGTCAGTACTGTTCTGCACTTGAGTTCACCTTTTGTGCCTGGCAAGTGGCTTACCTCATAGCATTCTCGTATCTGAACAAGGGAACCGCCAGTTTGATAGATATAGTATTTGTTGTACTCTGGGTACACAAAGTTGTGAAGAGACTTTCATTACATCCCGCTCCTAAATACGTTCTGACAAAAGTCACTGACACTGTGGATTTGTACAGGATTAAAATTACTGAGAAACTTTGATAGCCTAAAAAAAACATTACATACCCATACGGTGTAAAACTAATCCCTCCCAAATTGAACTTTGCTGGCTAAATACATGTATCTTTGTTATTGGTAACTTATTTGATTTTGAGCTAAACGTGCTCAATGCGTGGATCAGACACAGCAGTGCTGCTGGAGTTTTTAAACACCTCAGTGTCACTGCTGGACTGAGAATAGTCCACCAACCAAATATTATCCAGCCAACAGCGTCCTGTGGGCAGCGTCCTGTGACCACTGATGAAGGACTAGAGGATGACCAACACAAACTGTGCTTCAGCAGATGAGCTATCGTCTCTGACTTCACATCTATAGCATGGACTGACAAGGTAGGAGTGTCTAATAGAGTGGACAGTGAGTGGACACAGTGTTTAAAAACTCCAGCAGCACTGCTCTGTCTGATCCACTCGTACCAGCACAACACACACTGACACACCACCACCATGTCAGTGTTACTGCAGTGCTGAGAATGATCCACCACCCAAATAGTACCTGCTCTGTGAGGGTCCATGGGGGTCCTGACTACTGAAGAACAGGGTAAAAGGGGGCTAACAATGTATGCAGAGAAACAGATGGACTACAGTCTGTAATTGTAGAACTTCAAAGTGCACCTATATAGTAAGCAGAGCTGATAAAATGGACAATGAGCATAGAAACAAGGAGGTGGTCATAATGTTATGCCTGATCGGGCCCTGTCCTGATTGGCTGCCCTGTATTGTGTGTCATTCAAAAAAGCAGTCCAGGCTAAACAACTCCTTCTAACTTTGGAAGAGATCTCAGTTTCTGAGCTTTAACAAAACAGCTATGCTCAGATGTTGTAGCTCAGTGTGTTGTGCACTGCAGTAACTAAATTCCTTTGGAAAGTCGAGCAAGTCAAGCTATCATATCCTGTGGAAAATGAGTTTTTTAAGTATGAAGTCACACTTGTGTTCTCTATTGATAAAAATCAAGCCGATATGTAAAATTATTGTCCTATCTCATGAGCATAATTCAGAGCACTAAAACGTAAAATTACAGAAAAAATGTATTTTATGCAGTGCAGCTGGCTGTTTGCTGTGAATTCCCAAGTTAATGGTGAATAGCTTAGTAAATTGAAATGGTGAATGTGGAAGAGGTCTGAGTCTGTGAGCCTTATTAACAAAAAAGCTATGCTCAGATGTTACAACTCAGTGTGCTGTCTACTTTAGTAACTAAATTCCTTGGGAAAGTCGAGCAAGTCGATCTATCAAATCCTGTGGAAAATTAGTTTTTTTTTTGTTTTTTTTTTAAAGTATGAAGGCACTTGTGTTCTCTACGGCTAAAATCAAACCGTGTGTGCTGTCAACTGTAGTAACTAAATTCCTTTGGAATGTCAAGCATAAAAAATTTTATTCATCAGCAGTTTGGAATTGATAAATTAAGTCTTATGTCAGTCCAGACAATACACTGAGGTATTGTCATCAGGAATAGGTTACTTTGTGGTGAATGTATTTTACTGTTATGTTTTGTCTTGTTTTGGGCTTTGAAGATATTTTGTTTCATACAATGTATACAGTGCATGTTTGAAGACTTCATACGTTGATGTTTTGGTTATATTCTCATTTCAGATTACAGTGGAAAATTTTGGCGCTACTGAGGTTTTGGAGCTGATTCCTAATGGAATGGACATCAGTGTAAACAATCAAAACAGGTATGTTGTTGTTTCATGTTTTACCACTAAAATGTTCACTCTCACTACAAAACTGCTATAGAGATTTGCCCTCTTGTTGATCTGACGCCTTTGGCTCTGATTCAGTGCTTCAAATGAATGTTGAATAGATGAAATTCACACAGCAGTCAAGACTGTGGTAATAATTTATAATAGCTTCAACTTGTAAAGAATTTATGAGTATGTAAATCTGTGAATAAATCACAATGATTTCATTTATCATTAGCATAATGCTGTAAACAATCAATAGACTGTAGATGTATAATTGATTGGTACACGTTTGCCTATATGATTTTATATAATTAGTCATTTATTTTTTAATTATTTTTATTCATTATTCATAATTGGATACTGATTTAAAAATTTTAAGTAATGACTTAAATTCTAAACATTGTGGGACTAGCTGTAATCCAAGTACTGTTTTGTCACACTAGCTCAGGCTTGTAATTGTAAGATGTTAATAATTAGTAAATGTACAAACTCGCATTTATAATTTAAGTGATAAACAATTACTCCATGTATCATCTGTATATAAATACATTGGCCCCAAAAGGATTTGGATATATGTGCCATACTTAAAATTGTATTAAGTTTACTGAGTTATTAAAATTGTATAACACCTTTGTTTCAGTTAAAATTGTTACCTAATTTTCTCTTTAGGCAAGACTTTGTAGATGCTTATGTTGACTACATCTTCAACACATCTGTGGCCCCGCTTTTCAACGCCTTTTATGCTGGATTTCATAAAGTATGTGGAGGAAAAGTTCTAGAGCTTTTTCAGCCAAATGAACTACAGGCAATGGTAATAGGGAACACATACTATGACTGGAAGGAGCTAGAAAAGGTAAGGAACAGTAAATCACATCAAAGAAATTGTGAGAGGCAATATAAATTCAGACAACTTGGAGAACGCTTGATGACAGGCGAGAAGATCTGTCGTATGATTATCTAAAATTGTGTGTGTGTGTAAGAGGTTGAAGTCTCATGGGGCCTAACACACCAAGCTGTCGTGGAGCATCTGGCCAACTATTGCCTAAAGTTTTTGTGGTGTATGATGTTATATTAGGGATGAGCATTTAAACAGTTTCTGCTATTCAGATTCAGAAAATATGTTAAGTTCCACATAAGTTGGGATGTGGGCAACAAAAGGGTGGTAAAGTTGTGTAATGCTTAAAAAAAAACCTGGTGGTTAATTGGCAACAGGTCAATAACATGATTGGGTGTAAAATGAGTTTTGAGTCTTTCAGAAGTAAAGATGAGGAGGGGTTCACCACTCTGTGAAAGAGTGCACGATCAGTGCAACAATTCAAGAATAACATTTCTCAACATAAAATAGCAAAGAACTTTGTTTTTTCATCATCTACGGTACATAGTAACAGTAAAAGATTCAGAGAATCTGGAGAAATCTCTGTATGCAAGGGACAAGGCCAAAAACCATTTGCTGGCTGTGATCTTTGGGCTTTCAGACGGCACTGCATTAAAAACAGACACGATTGTGTAGTGGAAATCACTGCATGGGCTCAGGAACTCATCTGAAAACCACTGTCTGTGAAAACAGTTTGGCACTGCATCCACAAATGCTAATTAAAACTCTTAAATGCAAAGAAGAAAGCATATATAAACAGGATCCAGAAACGCCACTGCCTTTTCTGGGCCTGAGCTCATGTAAAATGGACTGAGGGCAAGTGAAAAAGTGTTCTGTGGTCCGACGAATCAACATTTGAATTTCTTTTTGGACACTGTGTCCTCCGGGCTAAAGACCACTCAGCTTGTTATCAGTACACAGTTCAAAAGCCAGTATTCATGATGGTATAAGGGTGCGTTAGTGCACATGGCACAGGTGACGTGCACATCTGTGAAGGCACTATTCCCTTTTTCAGGGAAGGCCTTGCTTATTACAGCAAGACAATGTCAAACCACATTCTGCATGTATTACAACAGCATGGCTCTGTATTGAGTCTGGGTGCTAAACTGGCCTGCGTGCAGTTCAGATCTGTCACCCACTGATAACATTTAGCGCATTATAAAATGAAAAATACAACAAAGGAGACCCTGAACTCTTGAGCAGGTGAAATCCTGTAACAAACAAGAATGGGGAAAACATTTCACTTTCAAAACTACAGCAGTTGGTCTCCTCAGTTTCCAAACGCTTACAGAGTGTTGTTAAAAGAAGAGGTGATGAACCACAGTGGTAAACATGCCCCTGTCCCAACTTTTTTTGTTGTTGGCATCAAATTCAAAATGGGCATACAATTTTCATAAAACAATAAAATTTCTCAGTTTCAACATTTGATTTGTTGTCTCTGTACTATTTTGAATGAAATATAGGGTTTAAATGATTTGCGCATCACTGAATTTTGTTTTTTATTTACATTTTGCACAGTGTCCCAACTTTTTTGAAAATGGAGTTATATGTTGACCATGATGTTGTAAAAATTTACCACTTTAGCATATATAGTTGTAAGAGACATGTGACTATTTTTAGAGTATGGCCAAATATGCCCTATACCCAGTTGGAAAATGGAAGTGACGTTTAAGTCAAGAAAAGTGTGCATACTTATCATTTTATCAAGTTATCATTTTATGTCCCATTAAATGTTTCTGAAACATTCTGGGACATCATACTGCTGTCACTGCAGTTGAGTGAATGTGAAAGAATGGCAAGAACAGGAATGTGACAAGTATAAACCTCTCAAGACATAGGACTGCTCACTGCTCAGAATGCTTAGTTGTTATCGCTGAAAACCATGGCCATTAAACATTGCTATGTCATGCCATTGCTTTACAGTTTTCTGCCTGTATCTGAAAGTGTAAATGAAATTAAAAAGTTGAAATGAAATAACTTTATTACCATAAGTAATTTGCCTTGGCTCTAAAAAGAATCGTCTGACTAAGGGGTTCCTTTCATGCAGGTTCAGCTTTCTATGCCAGATTAATTAAAACTGATCGTACATAAGCATTCAAGCATCCTACCAATAAAGATTATGTAGATTTTTATTTATAACCACATTTATTTCATGTTAGGATGTTGTTAACATTTAACATATTGTCTGTTCACACTTCGTCATTAGTTTTATCCTTAAGTCGCTCAAAGCATCATTGGGTGTAAGAATAAGGTGGATTGAGACTGGCAAGATCATGCTAGAGATAAGCTACCAGTAATTGATGCTTTATTAACAGGAATTCTGCCGATATAGCCATTTGCATGTAAAGTTCATATCACATGATATTCTGATAGATCAATAAGCCCCTACTAACCAGGAATTTTTTTGATCTTCCTCAGAGTGCTGAGTACAAGGGTGAATACTGGGCTGAACATCCCACCATCAAACTATTCTGGGAAGTTTTCCATAAGTTACCTTTGGAGAAGAAGAAGCAATTCCTTCGTAAGCATAAACAGTTTCCTGCATCTTCATTTAGAAATCATTGTATTTAAATACATTTTCGAAAGTTGCATTTCACATCTGTTTGTTGTTGTTGGTCGGTGTACAGTGTTCCTTACAGGCAGCGATCGGATCCCCATTCTGGGAATGAAGAGTCTTGGGTTGGTCATCCAGCCCACTGGTGGTGGAGAGCACTATCTTCCAGTGGCTCACACCTGCTTCAATCTGCTGGACCTGCCCAAGTACAGCAGCCGTGAGGTCCTCCGGGAGAAACTTCTCCAGGCCATTGAACACAACCAGGGCTTCAACCTTGCCTGAGAAAAGTCTGCAGGAACCTTCATTATTATTTGGGACTTCCAGCTATAAGGGTCTGCTAATTTGCAGTACTGAATAGCTCTCATTAATGTTTCTGTATTTTATTCAGTCATTAGGCTTTTTGACGATACCTTGAAAAAAAAGAGAAGAACAGGTTCCCAACATACTCCTTGGTAGTGTCAGACAAAGAGGGGAAAATTAGCATTTTTTTTTCATGCTAAGGTAAAAATCCATAGATAAATTGGCTTTTACTGAACTCTAAATATTCTCTGCCTGATACGGTATAAGACTGATTTCTTTATATATTATGGAAATAGTTTGTTTATTGATTTGATGGATAAATAAGTATTGTTACTGAATGATATAAGCATTTTCACATTTAAACTTGCAGCTTTGATGTGATTATTGATAGAATGTTTGATTCTTGGGGCAATGTCTTAACAAATAAAACAGCTTTTTGAGATCTTGGTTATTTCTTCTATAATAATTTTAATAGAAGGGAGTTTCAACATCTGGCTTCTACAGTTCTGTGTCATCAGTCTAGCAAATAAATGTCTTGCTTATAATTGCAAGTAGTGTTAGCATGTATGGGTGAAATAGCAGTGGTCTTTGAGGACAACTGGCAATTTTTTGTACTAGTGATTCCGGTTGCTAGTCCCGAAGAAACTCTGAAAAAACCCTGCTAAAAAACACTGCACAGTTTTGTGTTTTCTGTGCATTGGATTTATATCTTCAAGCAAAGTTTTTAAATGATCATTTCATTTGTTGAAGGAAAAAAGTTTACAACACCCGTATCACCCAAACTTGATTTTGCCAACGATAGTAGCAACAACTGCAGCCAGTCTTTTTTTGCAGAATTTCTGTAAAGCAGCCACATTGGAAGCCTTTTCAGCACGACCTGTCTGTTTAAGGTCCTACCAATTAAAGTAATTTAACCTGGCGATAGTCAAAAGTCTGGCTTCCAAGATCAAGAACAGGCCAAAACAACTGTACAACATATGATAAAGCATGGGTCATTTTATGAACTTTTTAGCAGTAAGGTTTTGTAGCCTCGAAAATACCACACCAGTCATAGCATTAGCAACAAAGTTCACCCCTGGTTACAGCACAAATTATTAAAAACCTTTATAAAATTAGAATAGTCTCTGTACTGTGATGGGCCTAAAAATTTTTCTCAAATGGTTTATATGCAAGTATGAACTTTGCTGAGAGAGACTTGTGTAAAATCTTGGAGAGCAAGGAAAAGTCTGAAATTAGGCAGTAACTCCACAGCTCTTTGGAATCAAGGTGAAATGCAGGTTATGTAAGTAGCACTGCTACCATTTCTTTAGAAGGTTGAGAAATTATTAGGGATTGTGTTGAATAAAAAAAGTAGTTGTCTTTGATGAGATGATAAGTGAAAATAAAATTAACTTCGAGCATTTCCTTGATCTAACTATAGATCTGTTGGTCTCTTGTAGTGTTTTTATTATTGGAGCATACACAGCATATGGATCTTACCCAGGGTGGACATAACAAACATCTAATAAAAATGAAGGCCATGATGAGGCCATGAAAGGTATTAAAACCTCATGAAATCACGTGAGTCATGCTCTGATGTTGGTACTCTATCCAGACCAGTCAAGGTCTTTCACACCAAACTATTTCTTTTTAAACCTCGTTTTGTGCACAGGGGTGTTTTCATGCTTAAACATGAGAGGGCCTTCCCTAAACACTTTTTCCCAAAGTTGGAATGTTTAAAGTTGTAACATTCTCTAGAATGTTAATGTATTGTAGCAGTAAGATTTCCCTTTGCTAGCACGAAAGGGCCCATTATTTTTCCCCCACCAAACTCTACAGATGGCACTATGCATTCAGGTAGTGCTCTCTTGGCATTTGCCAAACCCAGATTCATCCATCATACTGCCAGGTAAAAGTTGCTCGCTACACTGAAGTTACTTTATATTGTTGTCTTTGAGCCCAATTATTAATTAATTATATATAATTAAAAACTGCTTGGTACATGAGTGGGGCTTTAGGCTGTAATGTTTAGATCTTTGACTGATGAAGCATTTTGAATTGGCGTTGGCAGTCAGTGAAGAGACAGCTCTTTGATGGGCTGTTCAGTCCAACAAATGACAGCACAAGAAAAGAAATGATGCAAGCAAACTGACACTCTGAAGAGAGCACATATAGACAGTAGCCTGATTTTTCAGTACCAGTGCAAAGTTACATCACTAGGAATGGACATTTTAACCATTTTTGCTATTCAAATGTATGGATTGTAAATTAGTCATGTATGAATATCCTATTCTCCACGAGAGAATATTTGTTAAATTGTTATTGGCTTGAAAGCCTGTCAGGCTCAGCAATGGGTCAATTCCAACTAATAGATGAAAAATAGACAATTTGATTGACTAAAATATATGTTTATATGTAATCTAGGGAAATGAAACAATATCAGAGTTTGTCAACGCTACCCTGCTATTTGGTTCATAAAATAGCTTCACTAGCTTCCAAAAAGCTATTGAATTTGGAAAATAGTGATATTATCACATTGCCTCTGGGGATGTAGGTAGGTCATTCTCACTCTTTTATATTGTAGCAAGGGGGTTTTCAGAAGAAGCGTAGACAACTCGATGTTCATACCCACTGATTGGCAAATAGAGTACAAGAGGTGACCGTCGCTCTATAACTCATGTCTCTTCCTCTCCCACAACCCCTCAGCTTGCATACATAGACAAAGCACAGAGGTTGTTGTTAGCCCTGCCCTCCATAGCCAAATGCACTAAGCAAAATAAATTCTAGGGACCACTTAACCTAAAACTAACATGTTAACACATTTCCTGAACATGCTACTGTTTTTTTACTTCAGAACTAAATAAAACACTATATATGCTATATATGCTATAAATATGCTATTTTATTAGGATTTAACATGAAACAAGTACAATATTAGAGGCTTTAGAATGGCACAGTGGTGTTCAGCCATTCAAACTGTTTTTTAGCAATTACATTTATGTTTAATGACTTAGCAGGCAGTCTTACCATGAGAGACACAGCTACACAAATGTCTTAATGTACTTAACAGCATAGAAATGCTAAACAAAAACTGTGCTTAATAATGTTTCAAAATCAGTCAAGGTCAAATGTAATGTGGTGTGAGAAAAGACAAGAATATGGGATAGGATATACTGCTAAACTTCCATGCTGTCTAAACTGGTTTCTGCTGGTCTGTGCTGTTTTTTTCAGCAGGGAAATATGGATTATGGACACCATGTTTACTTTAGTCAAACTATGGAAATTATTTAGTCACTTGATGACAACGGCAGGTTTTACGTCTAATAAGAGGCGGTTTTGACGAAAGAAGTTACCCTTTCAGTAGAGCTAATGTTAAAGCTAATGCTGGAGCTAGTCAGAGCAATATTAGATCCTGAAAAAAACTCATATTTTATGGAAGGTTGTTCAGCGAACTTTAATGAAACAATAAAAGGAATTTCATGTGTATAAGCACATTAATATTTTAATCACAAATGTGAGCACTGTACAGTCCTATTTATTCCTGACAAATTTATCAAGCTGTCAGCATTTAAGTTAAGAAAAGCTAACTATAGCTATAGCCAATCAATCTTAACATTTATTTGTAATATAATTTATGTTAAGACATAATTTTAAATTATTTTTAGCAAATACAGTCACCTACTAAGCTTAGGCAATGACACAAAAACAATCCCATCCTCCAGATCAGGACAGCATGTCAAGCGTTATAAGTTCCTCTGTTAAATCTTTCTTAGTCTAATAATTCTTTCTTAGTCCTTCTAAAGTTCTTCTGAAGTTTTTTCTTCATTCAGAGATGACTATGATTGGCTAACAGGTGTGTCAATCATAATTTTGTAAATGGTCAATAATTGCGCTTGCAAGAGAGTCTAAAATGACTGAGGGCCTCTTGACGTTTTGTGCTAAATTGTCATTTGTGCTAAATTGTCATTTTTTCATTGTCACAAGTGAAGAAGAGGACAAATGCCCCTGTTTTCACAACTCAGAATATCAGAGATGTTTCAACACTTTATTACAATATCTTTGAATATTTGATATTTGATAGTAGTAGTAGTAGTAGTCGTAGTAGTAGTAGCAGTAGTATTTTCTTTATGATACGAATTTTTAATGTGCTAATTCTTAATAGTTCACATTTTATTTGGTCTTTTTTAATGATTTGACATGGTCCTGTGTTTTTACTTTTTCTTTCAATGTTCATTACTGCTTTCAATCCTTCATTCACTGTTCAAATGCTTGGCTGCATTACAAAGGAGGGTCATCCTCAATGTACTCTAAGTTTTGGCTGAGTGATTGATTGATCTTGTGTACATTAACTACATCAGAATTTGAATCAGTGTGCCTAATGGAGATAATGCACATGAGGTACCATCGGGGACAACATCTTTGTTGACTGAACTTAGCTGGTGATGTTGTGTTTAGTTATGTTTGTGAATCGCTCTACATTATAAAAGCAAACCCAATTCCAACAAAAAAGTTGGGACAGTAGCAGAAAATGTAAGTAAAAACAGACATCATTGATTTGCAAATCCTTGTAATCCTGACCTGTAATCCTGTTGAAAACAGAATGTAGCTTGGCATTGTCTTGTTGAAACAAGCAGAGATGTCTCAAAAAATGTGATCTGGGTGGTAGCATATCTTACTCCAAAACATGCATGTATAACCCCCAGCAATAATGTTTTTTTCACAGATGTGAAACTTAGCCATGCCATTGGCACTAACATATCCCCATATCACGACAGTCCTTGGCTTTTGATGTTTACGCTGGTAACAGTCTGGATGGTCTTTTTCCACTTTGGCCCAGAGAACACAACATGATTTCCAAAAACGATTTGAAAGGTGGACGTTTCCACTTTGTGTCAGTCCATCTCAGATGAGCTTTAGCCTAAAGAAGTTGGCAGTGTTTCTGGATGTTGTTGAAATATGGTTTCCACATTGTATATTAGTATCTTGACTTGCAAACAGTGTTCTAATACATTGGACACTTTGCTCACAGTTTTTCGCAAAGGGCAACTAAGCCTTTAGTAAATACTCCTTTTATACCCAATCATGATAGCATCACCTGTTCAAACCAAGTTTTTTCAATCATTCCACAAACTTTCCAGTCTTACGTTGCTCCTGTCCCAACTTTTTTGGAAAGTGTTGCAGACATCAAATTGGAATTACTGTATACTTACAAAAATCAATCAATCAAGTTGATAAGATAAAGCATTTCTAAATTTTTATATTAAATGTAGCTGATCACCCAACATGAAGTTCAAGGCTTTCAGACAACTTAGTTTTAGGAATGTGTTTACAGAAGAATAGTGTTTGGCATATTATCCAGGGCTATGAAGGCCATTTTTCCTGTCTGAAGAAATATAGTACGTTGTATGGGTCCCAGCTTTAAATAATTTTAAAAAATTGGGTTAAATGATTCTAATAAAATTTTAATAATAATCTTTCACAGTGTAACCTCAGATAGGCTCCAGCTACCCCGCGACCCAGAAGGATAAGCGGTTTAGAAAATGTGCGTGTGTGAAATGTAAGCTCAGAAAATCACAACAGAATTACATTTTTTCTCTATGGACTCTAGATGGCATCCTCTTTCTGTTACATGTTTGTGCTGAATTGAGTAACATTAGTACACAGAGAACATGGTTGACTAATCATTGTGCCCAATGACAGTCATTGACGGTGCCTTTCCTCCCCACTGCACACAGAAAACAAATAGTTGAATCGGACTCACTAGATAGTTCGAAAGAATCGCTTTGGTTGACTGAACCAAACGTCACTAATGTGTGGCAGCAAGCGTCACGTACATAGTGCTGGCCCTTCGCCGCTTTCTGGTCACTGCTCTGTACTTTTGAGTCCAGAGAGCTCCGCCTACGTAGGGGGACACTGCGTTTTACGTAATCAAAATGACTGGCGGAAAGGAGAGTCTTTTATAGCATATTGAGCCAAATAGATTGATTGATCGAGGGCTAGCGCGGTTTCCACCATCAGTGACAAAAAAACAGTATCTTGTGGGGCGTTAGTTCCTGTGATATGTTTCGCTTCGCCTTTTTCCTAGGTGAGTGGATGTAAGTGGATGTTTGGGCTGAGATGAGAAAGGTGGGTGAACATATTTGCATCATGTGTACAGCTAGCACTGATACGCTGTAGTTAGGATAGTAATACAGAAAAGTGACACTTTCTTAGACGCTTCTATTGTTACAGTAACCGTTCGCTGTAAAACCACTAGGCCGTTCAACACCGAACGTGGTGCTCGCGCCAGTTGAAGGCTGGAGGCGAATATAAAGATGATTTTCTCTTCGCAGGTAATGTGAAATATTTTCACTGAAGTAATGTTCAACCCAAATTATTGGGCTGACATAACCAACAACTTGCAGTTCGTTGAGACTTTGCCGTACCATCATTATTTATTTGCTTCACGTCAGCTTTTCCGCTTGTATCATTAAACTTGACAGGAACTCAGCTGGTTAGCATACCCAACGTTAGCTAGTAGTAGCTAGCTAACGTTAGCTGCTGCAGCCTAGCTAATAAATTTACTTTATAATATTACAAATAATGGTCAGCTACGACTAGCAAGAAGCGGAATGTGACATGAATATAAGACATAAATATTAATGGATTCGTCGTGAATGAAAACCGATCCGCTCAGGTTACAGTAAACTAGCTGTCTTGTCTTATATTCATTGTATCTTGGCAGTTCATTGCACGGGAGTAATTAGCTCTATTCTGTCAAGCCATTTTTTTAAATGGGAAAGATACCAGTGCTTAGTGACTAATTAATCTAGCTATCTTTTTTGTTCTTTTTAGGAGATACATAGTTGTGGACTTGTTACAACGCCGTTCAACACAGGCGATGGTTTTGGTGAAGCCATAGAAAAGCGAATCGAGACCGTGCATCACGTCTTGGCATAACTTCCAGTGGTGAATTTGAGAATTAAAAACTTGACGCCTAATGAAAACTGGATAGTTCTGTTCTCCTGGAACCTGGATCCTAACAGGTCATGGCTAGCAGACAGCCAGTTGATCTTACGCTTGCCTGGGAAAAGTACATGGATTATCGTGCCCAGGGTGCAGATCTTCAGGTGAGCATCAATAATATACATCTTTGTTGCTGATGTTTTACTTTGATCGTTGAGCTGAGATTTGGCAGAGAGCTCGGGACTGCATTAATTTGAAATCTTTTTTAAACCTCATTGATAGTATGACTTTGCCAAAGACCTATAAAACACAGTACTGTGTTTACAATTAAAGGTTCTAGATTTTTGGCTCAAAGACTTCCTGGCAGAGCACACAAACTGAAATGCAGTTGTTGTCATTTGTCATGAGCAAATACTGCAGATATCTTTTGAATTGCAAATTAACGTGTCTGGTCTTACCAGTAATCTTATTCATACTGACAGCAGTGCAGAGAATCTACCAGATGTATGAGTAGAATCACAGCTGTCACAAGCTGTATAACAAGTCCTGGTTTCACAGTGAAGTGAGCAAATACTTATGAGTTATGTGTACAATGCACAAAGGAACAAGCCTGTGGACTCTAGGCTGTCATGACTTTGTGTTATTTCATTTTCAAGGCAGTCATTTACTTTAATGATTGAAACATGTTCTCCTTCCCAAAGCGTAAAGGCTGATTCAACGGCCTTAGCTCTGTTTCCCCACAGGCAGGCATCATCGTCACCTGGAAATCGAGGCAGGGATGGGTTAAGAGGGTGTAACTTGCAGTTTAAGGGAAATAGTTCCAACTAGGCTAAGCAGTCATGTGTTTTTCTGCTAGAGCATTGAAGAGGCGTTTCTCTGAGCTTCTTTTGACCACTGAGCCCTTGGATATACTAATAGCTCCATCACGAGACTCTGATTAGCTTCCTTTGCCTGGAGCAAGGCTTTGGGTTGTGTGCTGTACACACATAGGCAGATTCACAGTGAGGGGTGAGGTTCTTTTCATGTTTATGTTTTGTTTTGGATGGCTAGATGTTCTCAGAAATAGTAACTGCAGTATTCGGAGGTGACACTGTAGTAATACACACACACACACACACACACACATTTATTGGTCAAATTATGTATGAAAATGATAGAGTTAGCTTTTGATTAAAGTTTGGACAAGTGGGAAGCAGCCATATAATCACATGCAAAACCATGGAGTGAAAAAACTGAATGGGAGTTGATGAGAAATGAGTTTTGGTTTGAGGCGAATCAGTAAGCAGCACTATCTCGCAGAATAAATCATGAAACAAAATAAAAATATATGCTGACCATACAGTAGAAGGCTTTGAAAAGGCTAAGTAACGATTTTTAAAGGACTAAAGTCTGACACCCTCTCACATCTAAAGACAATATTGCAGAGTTTTAGCCACAGACCATGATTATGCCAAGACTGAAGATCTTGCAGGGTCTGTGTTTGCAATACTGCAACTAGATTTTTGAGATTATTTCCCATCATGGTTCTGGCAGAAATTTACAAGAGAAACCTGTTTTTTTCTCCATTCTATGGTCGTACACGTTGGCTGGGCATGCTCATGTATATAAATGTATATTAAGGCATATCATCACCCAGCATCTTTTTGTAAATATGCAGTTAAATTTTATTTAATATAAAGATTTACACATAAAAAAGCAGTGATTCAGTGATTATGAACTAAACCATAAAAAACAAACAAAATGAGAAACCACTGTAACAGAAAGAAAAAAATGGAACAAAAAATAGAGATGCCTCTTCAATAATGACATTCTTAAAGTCCTCTGCACATTTCCCTACATTAGTATTACATGCTCAGTGATCTTGAAATATTAAAATATTAAAAGTTTGCATTTTTAAGTTAATATAATTACTGTTTTAAAGTGGAGTATGTTTGGCTTTTTTACAGCACTCCTGCATCCATTTTCTCCTTTTCACTCTCTCTCTCTCTTTTTCTCACACTGTTACTTTGTCTGTCTGTATGTCTCTCTCTCTCTCCCTCCCTCCCTCCCTCCCGTCATGCTTCTCCCTCCCTCCCTCCCTCCCGTCATGCTTCTCCCTCCCTCCCTCCCTCCCGTCATGCCTTTCCCTCCCTCCCTCCCTCCCTCCCGTCATGCCTCTCCCTCCCTCCCTCCCGTCATGCCTCTCCCTCCCTCCCTCCTGTCATGCCTCTCCCTCCCTCCCTCCCGTCATGCCTCTCCCTCCCTCCCTCCCGTCATGCCTCTCCCTCCCGTCATGCCTCTCCCTCTTTCTGTCTCTCTCTTTCTTTCTCTTATCACTCCAAGCGCATGCACTTGCTAGCTTGCTCTCATGCACGCCTCTGGCTCGTTACTGTTTGCATAAGCCAAGACTTAAAACTTAGCAAGACTCTCATGATTTTATTCTGTTGTAGTGTGTGTGTGTGTGTGTGTGTGTGTGTGTGTGTGTGTGTGTGTGTGTGTGTGTGTACAAACAAAGAGGTGATCGGGCAAGATGAGAGTGCAACCAGTTTCACCTTTCTGCCATTTGCTTAAACTCTACAATGAACATGGTTTAGACCTTAAGAAAATAACATAAGAGAAAATAACATATATTGAGAATATTTTCTCTCAGTATGTAATAAGGTTTTCATGCTACCCCTTATTCTCTTTACAAAGAACAGGTTCCAGAATGTAATCTGGCAAATAAGAAGCGAACTTTAGCCTTTTCTATTGCCATTTCATCCAATGTTATTTCAAGTCAAGGGCTAGGTTCACATTATAAACCTTATTGCTCAATTTCAGTTTTTTCCTCAGATTCGATTTTTCTGACTTGATGGTTCACACGTGTAGGTATGAGGCTCAAATCGTTCATTAATGTGAAAGAACATTGCACTGCATACACACATTCTAAGCACCAACATCATGTGAATGAACCACGTGTCATAAACAGCAAACTAACTAACCAGCAGAACAACAGTACCCTGCAAAGAACAGCTCTAAGCTGTTCATTATTAGAGTGAGACAGAGAAGAAAAAGTGTTACTGGCTCTAATTTCAGGTCTGGGACTGGTGCCACATCAACTCTGAATAATGATGCATGCACAATGGGGAAAAAAGAACACCTCAATCCAATTTGAGCATTGTCATTAAGGTTGCATGGCCACGAGTCAGACGTGTCACAGGTATAATCGAAGACCACATACGTCAGTGTCACAGGTCAGATCCATGCAGCTCTGAAAAAAAGATCTGTGTCTCATTAAGGTTAAAAAAATCGGAATTTTGCCACTTCAGCCCGGTAATATTGCTATAGCCAAAAATAATCAAAAAGTTTAGTTTGCTTATATGGTCATCGAATAATTGAACGCAGTGTGTAATTTTCAAGCTGTCAGCCAATAAATGTCAAACCATCTATCTAACAGCTGCTAAATGTTAAACCGTGCTGCTAACTAAGAGAGAGGAGCTGTTTAGCTGTAGCTTGGCTAGCATGATAACAGCTCTGCTTACCACACTCTGCCTAACTAAAGCACTGACACAAGTTTAAATGATAATAATTAAAATCTGGGGGAGTGAAGTTGAGCAACTGGCACTGAAGTGACAGGCAAAAGTAAACCTGTTCTATGTTATTTGGATCTGTAGGCTAATCAGCTAACTGAATGTTATCATAGCACACAGGCTGCAGACCAAAATAGTGCCACACAGAGAGTAATATCGAATGACTGAGTATTGAAGTGACCGAAAACTGAACTCAAACCTGTTCTATGGTGTATGGGATTGTACCATTTTAACTAAGCTAATGATAGCTTAGTTAGCAGGCCAAATGCACAACACAGACTTGGTACCAGCTAACTCATGCTAAAATGACACCCTTTAGAGGATATCTGAGAGCCCAAAGGGGAGTGATGAATTTGTTCTGTGGTGTGTGTAGTTTCTAGTCATTGCTAACACTGCTGTCATGCTTTTTCTGAGGTTATTCCTGGCTCTGATTTTTCCCTTGTTTCTATCAGCAATACCTACTGGTGAGCTCCCACACCACCAGTCGGTGAGCTCCTCTAAAATGGGTGGAATGTGTTTATTCGGCTGTTCAGACGTGGAATAGAAATTGTACATGGTGTAAAATACCACCATCTTTTTTTTAAGATTGTTTATGATTTTTAAATAAAGTAGTATAGCTTATTACCGTTATACTGCCAAACCCTACTAAGCACAGATGAGTTTAAGTTCTCTTTGTCAAACTGTGTCCGGGTACTGTTACTCTTGGTGTTCAGAGCTGTTCACTTTATCCTCAGTTCACTTTCCCCTAAAGTTTCCATTCTGTATATTTGCGGAATTGTGCGCTTTGTTGCTTTGATTTGACGTCTTTTGTGTTTACATTCTGATCTTCCACTATCTCATATCAGATAGAATGTATTCAGTTATGTAGATTTTGTAAAACTGTCACAATAGGCAGGCCTCTCTGCTCTGCCATTGGCTAGGTCTGTTGAAATCAGCAAAGGAAGGAAATTGAGTCACTCTATAAGCATGAGTTCAGCAATAACTGTACAAACAGTACAAATCCTTTTATGTCAGTCATTCATTATGCTAAACAGTGCTGAGACTAAACAGCAGACACTTTAAATAAAGTAAAAATTTCTTAAATTCTCTAGAATTCTGTGATATCCTCGCTTTTACTCTTGTAGATGACAAAAGAAAGATGTTCATCTGAATCAGTGAAGTTAGCACTGGACCTGTTAATACAGGTAAGGCACTGCAACAGTGTGTGAACGCACTTCCATGTGGCAGGTTTTATCAGTCCAACTAGAAACAAATTTCTGCTAACAGTTGCTTGCTCTGTGCTCCATAACTGAGCTTTTCAGAGTGAGATAGTTGGTGAAACTCCCAAATTGAAAATAAAATAATAATAATAATTGCGATCAGGTGATTATGTAGTAATAGGTCTAGTAAGGAGTGAAACTTTATCGCCACTTGCTGCTGGACTGGACCTGTTTTCCCTTTTTGCACACTCGCACAAGTGTTGCGGAAACTCAAACTGAGAATGAATATAGGGTTGACAAACGCAGAGATCACAGTGAAAGCTGGAGAAATATTTTACTACAAACTGGCAGCTAAATTAAAATTGTAAAGAGTAGACCTGACGATTAACTGCCATATAAACATTTCTGAGTAAAGATTCTATTGTCTTTTTGTTTATTTGTTGCAACTACAGCAGCTAATTCAACTGATTAGCTATCTTGCGATACAAAATCGAACGTGACTGTGGAAATTAATTAAAGTTAGCTTTAATAATAGCGATCATCTGAAATAATTGCGATCAGGTGATTATGTAGTAATAGGTCTAGTAAGGAGTGAAACTGTTCAACAAACAGCTCCACTTTATCGCCACTTGCTGCTGCACACGTGTCATGCATGCAGCTTTCTTTTTTTTTCCTCTTTTCTAGCTTAGTCATTTGCTACTGCCTGAATCGCTCATTGAGTTACATTGCTCACCATCTCGCACTACAAGATGACAATGTTTTGAGTTGTAAAAATCTTAACTTTTTGATTATGATTACTCCAGAAGTTGAATCACTTGTGTCTCCTCTTACACCACCAGATCGCCTGTGCCATCTGTTGTTTCTGATCAAGCTCCTGACTTGAAAGATTGCTTAAGGTTGTGACAGTTTGCCAGAAGGGCAAATCAGGGTTAAAAAAGGGCTTAAAATCAGGCTGAAATTATGTAGTGTAGGTCCAGCTTTAGCTAAAGCTGGTGCTGGATTGTAACTGCAAATACTGCACTTTCTTGAGGAGAGATTTGAAATGGTTAAGCTAACATAATAACACAATCACAATGTTGTCTTTCTTTCTTTTTTGTTTGTTTGTATTTCCGCTAATGCTATTGTTTTCCAAAAATGAAAAATCCCTGCTGTCTAGATAAATAGCTTTACGTATAATTCTCACATATTGCCTGAAACTTTTGCACAGTACGGTTTGTCACCAAGCTTGTGCAAATGCTGCTGATATGTTCTTTGATGCAGCACATGGGAAGACGCATTCCACAAGGAAAGAACTGTCAAACAAAGTTTACATGGAGTCTGAAGTCATTTGGGATTCAGTTTAGGGAGCTTAAGGGGCAGTGTCTGACTGCTGGCTCTTACTTAGAAATTCTGCACAACCACATCTGAGTGGATTAGGAGCGAGATGAATGAACGTTGTCTGGATTACTGTAGCTATGTGTAGGCTGTGGTGTGATGGCTGACAGTTGCAGGATCAGGTGTAGCCAGTGGTATTCTTTGCAACAGCATTGGTGCACATGCTTCCAGGTCACACATGCCAATTATTGCAGCACAGGTGGCCAACCCCAGGACTGCAAATCAAAAGTCCAGGGTTTAAGTAACAAAAAGGTGTGAAGGTGTGTATTTTAACGATGTACTAGCTCATACTATGTTATTACAATAGAAGTGAGCAAGTGAGACTCTGTTGCACAAGGAAATTGTATTTGTATTGGTTTTGCGTGCGTGCGTGCGTGCGTGTGTGTGTGTGTTCTTTTTTTCATTGGCTGTTCAATCATGTGATGTCATGAAGGGGTTGCCAATTGATTGCTGTGCCACTCTTCTTTTAGTGCCTAGACAAATAGGTGACACTGGCTGCTTGCACCAGCTCTGTGTAAGTTCAAATGTTGGCTAGTTGTAACATAATTGTTTAAGTTCAGGCTTATGCATTGCAGTCCAAACGAGTTGCACCACACAAATTAGTTTTAACGTTGGGCTTAGTAGTTACTAAATATATACACCTCCCCCTAAGCAGGTATAAGTTAGGGGAAATCATCGGAAACCTCATAGAAAGCACAAAAAGCCAACTGCTGCTGTGTTTCCATGGCAGCGGGTTTACTGATTGATTTTAAACATGTTATCATCATGTTAAAGCAATGTACGCATTAGATATTTTTGCCATATTGTCCATCCCTTTTTTATTTATTTATTTATTTTAATTATTTTTTTGTTTTTTATAAATGCAGTTTACTTTCTCTAGCTTGGATATACCAGTTAAGCCTCATTGGGAAGAGAATTTTATTACGGTCAAATATAAAGAAAAACCCAATCTTTGTTTTTTTATTAGTTTTTACCTTTTGCTGTTGTTGGAAGAAAACATCTCCAAAATGATAAGTTTACAGGAAATTTAGAAAAATATTTACAATTTATTTAGATAAATCAGTACCTGTAGAATATTTTCTGCTTCAATTCTGAAGTGCCCTCTCCCTTTTCTTTTAGGTCAGTCTGCAACACTTGGAAAGCTTCCTGTGTTTGTTCCACTGTGTGCAACAACTCAGTGAGCCTGAGGCCCTTAGGTTCTGGTATGTTCTTTTTTCATTTTGCACATATTTGTGCATACACATTTATTAACATTTGAACATGTAGGTTGAAAAATGCACGGTGCTTGCGTGTTCTGTAAAACTGTAACTGACGAAGCTTGGTCTACCCTAACCACAAGCACACCTACTCTTGGTGCATGTTAAAATTGTATTTACAGCACTGATGCGTGCTGCTTCTAGCATATGGTCACTTGTGATTGCTCAGCAGGAGGTGTTGTTTTCTCTTAGAGAAGCTCAGCTTCATACATAGTATTGCACAATTTAGTAAATGCTAATTAAATGGAACAGCGTTAACTAAAGCAGAGCTTATAACTTGGTGCCGCCACCTACACTGTGTTTACACTTGTATTTAATTAATTTATTTAGTTGGCCTTTAGACATAAAAAAAAAAAATGAATAAATAATTCATCCCCATAAATTCTTTCTCTCCATCCTGTCCTAGACTGCCAACAGCTTGCCCTGTTCTTTTCACGCTTAAAGCACTGAGCCACTTCCTGTATTAACAAACACTGTAAACACTCATCTCTTGTTCCTGTTTACAGTCCAACTTCTGCTGACTCTGTGTAACTACAAGTACGTCTGCATTAGCGTAAACAAAAGTACTAGCAGAAGCATTATTAAACATACCCATATATACTGTACATAAACACAGTTGATAAAGGTAAAACAAACATAAAGTGACTTAGTCAGGTATTGAATCATCACTTGCTGCAGGAGCAGCTTCAGCGTGTCTTTGCATATTCTACAAGTCTCTGAAACACTACTGGAGGGATGAAATACCTTTAATTTAAAAGGTATTTCATCAGTTGCTGTTTTGATGATGACTGTGAAGTGTCCAACACATTGGTCCAAAATCTTCCACAAGTGTTCAACTGAGTGACCACAGGAGAAAGTCTGGTGGCCATAGCATATGAAATGCTTCCTTTTTTGTTCTGATCAACTTATTCAGAGACCTCCTCGTGCCCTGTGGATGAGGGCAGTGTCATCCTGGAAGAGACCACTCCCATTAGGATGGAGAATGTTTCTTCACAGGATAATGTTTCTTCACAGCATAATGAGTGATGAATTAGGTAATTAGGTTGGTTTAAAGTCATATTTTAGTTTTTAGTGAAGATTTAGTCAGTGGAACTCAGTTTCAATTTTAGTCTAATTTTAGACAATGTTTTAGTCATAATTTTCTCAGACAGTTTATTGATAGTGTGATGGATTTTGCTGAAAGATATTTTTCCTGGCTGTAAAAATTCCATGAGAAGTAAGCATATCTCAAAGTATATGTTTAGTCCTGTAGGCTGAGAATGTGTTACTGCCTTACCGTACTTTTTTCAAATATCATATTAAAATAAATGCCTGAGTCTCACCACGTCCAAAGCCATGACATGTAACATTATATTTGCCTAATGTTGTTGAATCGGTCAACATATATAATTGATATTCACCTTGGCAGACGTTGCAGGAAGGCGTGTCTTCAGGTGTCTTTTCAAACTCACATGGCACTTCATTCTTATTGGGAGCAGTACACTCAGTCTTTCTTGAATACAAGAGAAATGTGTCCACAGTTTGTCTTTCCTCTTTCTTCCCACCTGACAGGCCGCTGATGTAGATGTAGCACTCATCATTTGAGAAGCCAGTTAATAGCTTTTTAAGCTAGTTATGTTTATTTGTACAGACATGCACCAGGCAGGAAAAAAATCAAGTCATTCAAATCATCCAGTGAGAAAGATGCACGGAGGCCGGTAGAATTTGTTTGTGTACTTGCAGATTTATGCATATAACTGATTGTTTTCCTTTTTAACCAGTCAATGCTTTGAGATGGCTGCTGTGATCTTGGTTGTCTGTCCAAACAGAGCTAATCACTTTGTCTCTTCTCTTTACTCAAAAGGGCATAATGAACAGAGATTTTGTCGGGTGTTTGTGAAGCATTCAGCAAAGTTTACATAAAAAACACAAAGCAGAAATATGATAAAACACTCCTCAAAAATCATCAAAATGCACTCATCAGACCTCTCTGAGAATGGTCTGGGCGTGGTCTTAATTAATAAACTAGGCTCCCTTCAAAACCAGCTAACAATTTAGCTGCAAAGATATCAAGCTATATACAAGCTATAGCTTAGCCAGTAAGATTTATGACGACTAACATTACCTTTCATGACAAGTTTGCCTAAAGTTAAGGAAAAAGTACAGGTTATGTTAAAGTTACTCACATGTTGTGGCCGTAGACTTCTTCTGAAGTTCTGCTTCTGATAGGAGAGGTAACGTTAAAGTAGGTTCAGCTCAAGCCTTCAAGCTAAGAGTTTTAGCATAACCACTTGACTTCTGAGTAAAGTTACTGAAGCTGTCCTCAGTGAAATGTTTATTACTTATGCTGTTTGTGTTGTAGACGACACCACTGTGTCCATGACGAACTAAAAACTTGTCCAGTTTTCATGTGATGGTACCTTAAAAAGGTCAGGCCTTTATCCACTCTCCTGTTGGATGGGCATCCAGGGAATGCACACACATTGAATGCTTACTAAGATAGCTTTAGCTCACCAGGTTATTTGGACTCAAAGGGAGGGTGGAGCCATGTTAGCCTTGTGATGGGTCAGGGTTATGCTGACAGTATATAACCCTGACCCACTTTTGAGCCACTTTTAGTAATGCCCATCCTACATTGAGAGGAGAGCAATACTGATGAAATACAGCAGACATTTATTTACTTTGGGAAGATATTCATAAGACATACTTTGTACATTTACATTGGGGGCCCTGAGGAGCCAATTTAATTACAAAGAATGATAGAAAGATTAGAAAGATTAAGGTTCCCAGGGGCTTTAAAAGGTCCCAATCCAAAAAAAAGGTTCCCTAACTTATGTAGCATGTAATATATAAACACTGTTAAAGATTGACAGTGTACCATTTACCCAGTTTTATGTAGAAACTAACCTGCTAGAGGTCCATTTTGAATTTCTGTGATATTAAGAGAACCAGCTTATTTTCATGTAATCACTTATTTAGCCTATAGCAGTTTAGCTCTACCCAATTACACTAAAGTTCTAGGTAGTGTTTCAGTTCTAAATGCTTATTGTATAAGGCACAGTCCAAGACAGCCAAACAGAACACTATCTAATTTCAGTCTTAAAGGCACAGTAAGTGGTCGGAAAGTGGTTCTGTTAAAAAATAAAATAAAATTAAATTAAACTAAAATTAAAAGTGAAATTACTGCCATTTTACTACATAAAATAACAGAAATGTTATAAGTGGACCTGAAGAGAAAAAAATGCACAAGAGAGATGTAGGATATGGGCCCTTTAGGGGAATTTACTTGTCGAGTATAGGGCAAATCAGCATTACTTCACTTCTGGGTGGATAATGCCAGTAACACTGCACAGATATAACAGGATGTTGTACCAATCCTGATACTAATTTGAGAGTTATTTAACCAAGGTGATGATACATCTAAATACTGAGATGGTGTATACCTCTGCATATTTGTTATTAAATACAGGTGAACTATATGCTCATAATGTCGTCGTTGTTGATATTAAACTGACATTACACTAGTCTTTCTGATAACTTCATCTTTTTTTTTGTCATTTAATCATTTAATCACGCACCAGCCATTTATTTTCACTGGAGTGTTTAAGGAAGAAAACATAACTTTATAAGTCTTTACCTGCTATCATAATGCTAATAGCTGTTATGTTGGTGCCAACCTAAGGAGGAAGTCACTGGGTTTTGTATTACTTTTAGCAGCTCTGCCAGCTTTTGAGGGCTGGAAAATGAGAAAAGCCTAAACCTGAACCAGTATATTGCTGAGTGTACGTGTTAGCTGTGATCTTGCTTCCCGGCCATAGATGGGGATGAGGAGAACTTTTTTTACTCTAAAAAGTGTCAGAGTCAGGACTAGTTGCTCTGAGGTAACTTTAGCATGCTTTTTCACTGCAGCAGTGAGGCACAGAGGAGCTCCAAAACATAGGGGTATTTATTTGTGGTTTCATGCACTGGAATTAAATAAAGAGAATATAATAAATATAGCTTTCCTGATAGATTTTTTTCAATCTTTCTCTCCCCCTATCAGCAGAAAAAATGGGATATGTTCACACTTCTTAAAGGCATATGGACCCTATTTCCCCCAAAATGTTTGACCTTACAGCCTCAAACACAACAATATTTTACCGTTTTTGGCCATATTTTGGTCCAGTCTGTTCTGTTTGTATTAACTCCTACTTAAAATAAGCTGCTTCTGTTGCTCACTGGATGCGTTTTCCACCCAGAAGTATAGCCAATGTTTTACAAACATTCTGATTTGGTCTATTAGACAAATTCAGTTGGTTTATCACTAGAGAGTGAGCCACTGTTGCAAAAATATAAATCTGTAAATATATAAACCAGAGATTCCCCTGGTCATGGTGTCCATGAATGATTCATTTTGATGGACAATTGATGGTGAAATTATGGGCATGTGTTGGTTTTTTGACCATCATGTCAGTATGAACATATATCAGTAAAATTCCAGACACAAAAGAGATATCAGAAAAATCAGCAAATAGAAACGAATCAAAGAAAAAACTGTCAAAATGAGTAATACATGTATATCAGAATGAGAGAAAATGAGTTGTAATCTTTTTGAAAAATTTAAGTTTGATTAAACTCTAAAATTTGCAACATTTTGTATATTTTGAAATTTTTTATTTTGGACTTTTATTTAAAACATTTGGCACAAAATTAACCCCATAGACATATGGAGACTGATTTAGGACATGAGTTAATGTTACACATCAAAGGAAATCTTGTGAAAAGGAAACATGTACATCATGTTTTCGGGCATTTAAATTATCTAGTTTGATTGCCGCTTGTGATAGTTAGTAGCTGTTGGCAACTGGTGTTGTGCAGCCGCAGGATTTTATTTTTGTTAAAATTTAATATGGAGGGAGAATAAAACATTTTACCAGACATTGAGCACAATCTCAATTTAACGGTCAGAAATGGTCATAACCGTAAAT